GAACAAATCACTTGAACTGTTTGCTTGCTATGTAACCTAAACCTTGGCTTTGTATCCTTACATCCAACCTTCAGGTATAATTCCTCATAAAATGTAATTGGTTCAAATCATTCTTAGGTTGCATCAAAGAAATTCATCTTTTTCGTTACACTAATCCGCGTCACTAACTGACAAATTAGTAAAAAGAAAAATACATATTTTATGAACCGAAAAACCCTTTAGCAGTTATGGAATAATAGACGAAACTTTACTCTCGATAATAATGTTAACGGCTATCAGGATACCGAAGCCAAGAGCCATTCAGAGCAGCAGTAAAAAGAATATAATTTACATTAATTTTAATATAAGTGTTCTATACACATAGTTCACTTCTAAAAAAGAAAAAAAATTAGATGCCACCGGAATTAGTCCACTTACACACCTCAAGTAGCCACTCGTCGTGCTGTCGCAATAAAAAAAAAAAGAAAGCTGGAATATCGGCAATGTTTAAACACTCTTTTAAGTAGCGACCTTTTATTTTGCTTTGTTGGATGCCATACAAAATGATCGTATTATAAAATGATAGGAAGCATGTATTTAAAATGCCCCTTGAACTGGTTCTTCTGGAAGCTTATGCTTTATTTATATCGGTTCAATATATTTCCAAACCGTGACAACTGCTTTGAAGGAACTAAAATTTTTAAGCTTGTCCAAAAAAATTTGAGTAATTAAGTGTTTCGGACAGAAGTTTTTTTACATTTGCGAAAGATTTTAATTCCGTGAAATTTAATTGAGCAAAATATTTCATATACGAAAACACAATCTACAGCAAATATCAAAAAAAAATTATTTTTTATAGATGTATTGTAAAAGTTTTATCGATTTTGTAATTTTCGAGTGATTCAGCAATGTGGGAGGAAGATTGTTCCGGTGTCGCAAAAGATAAAAACAAAAGCCAAAACTTTGGACGCTTCGCAAGAACTGAGCTTTAACTTTAGAACACCAGATAAAACTCAAGGCAATCTCTAGAGGAGCAAATGTGAGTCCTGGAAATTCGAATAGTAAATTATTGAGAACTGTTTTTGATACAAATTCACTATGGGATATTTTCTATACCTACGAAACTTCTCTGGATTATCGAACTCCGCCAAACAAAACTTTTGCTTTGCGAAATGAAAAACATACTGGCAGTGCAGAGTGGCAAAGCGAACACCATCAGTAATTTTCTCATAACTTAAAGCAAGGAAAATTGAAACTGAAATTTCGGAAATGATCAAAATTCTTGATGTTAAAACATTAAGTCATCGAGTCGAGAAGTTTTCGTCATATCGTACTACCATCACAGGATACTAAAGATTGATTGTTGGTTAACGGAAACATTAAGTCTCAATACTTCTGGATCAGCTGTTAATAGATTTCAGTGCTAAATACCACTAAATAGCAAATGAAGGTCAATAATGAAATTAACCCGCTAGAACTTATTGACAAATCGTTAAATCAGCAAATAGCTCTGAAAATGTATAATGCGTTAGACAAAAATGCATCACGCGTCCAAAAACGCAGACCGGAAGAAATATTCTTAGCCAAAAATTCGATATTCTTATGGACTACATATAAGCGTCCCCAAAACGAAACCTATGGTTTTCTCTAAGGTGCAAACACAAGCTGCCCCCCGTATACATAACAAGATCGTTGAGAACGTATCATCCTTCAGACATCTGAGGCAGTAGTGCGTGATAGTTGCGATTCGACGAAAGAAATACCATCAAGAATTGAACAGGCCAAGAGGACGTTTCTCGATATCAAGAACATCTTTATTATGCGTGACCTAGACTAGGGTCTTGGAACCCTAATGCTACGCTGTTCCTAATGTTACGTATTCAGGCCGAGTCACATCTATCCGATCCCAGTCCGATCCGACTCCGATCAGAGAACCTTCCGTCGATGACGAAATAATCGGATCGGTGCGTGATCGGAAAGGGGAAGCCACACATGTCCTACACGTTTCAGTTTCCGTTCCGATTTTTGGACGAGTGCAAATAACAGATTATCAAACTATTCCTAAGACTAAGTCCAAATGTATTAATTGGCTTTACCGTTTTTCATATAGACACTCGGATGGTTTACTTTGAATATCGAAAACTGAAA